AATAAGCGAATGCAGCAAAACAATTTCAAAGAAAATAATTATAAAAAAAAATCAAAGCATGTAGAAAGCTAAGATTTGCAACCAACTACCCTTAATGACAAGTAATTCCTTTAGCAAAATATTTACGAATTCACATACATACTGAAATAATGAAATAATATACATGCTTTAATATATAAAGTAAAGAACACAAACCAAAAACAATTAACTAATTACAACCAAAACAAAAGAATGAGTAAAACAAAGTAGTGTAAAATAAAAAATAAAAAATACAAAATAAAAAATAAATACAATATATTAATGCAATATAACGAGTGTCAAGCATGCATGATATCTATTATGGAAATATTTCTTTTTCATATTTTATATAATTACTTATATACACACAATATTACAGAATATTATATATTTCATATACGAGAAGCAGAAAATAATATTAAATAAACTGTGTATTATTTAAATAATAGTTGAGATATTTGTAATTATTTGCAATAGAAAAAACCAAAACCAAAAAAAAAAATAACAATAACATAGTGAGAACAACAAATATTGTAGTTTTTTTCATTCTTTCAAATAAAAAGCACACATTGGAAATAAAAATGGAAATTTAATAAAAACAAAAATTGAAAAAGAAGATTACATTTTTTTCGCCGACTAAGTGAAAGCATACAATGAATTAGATGTGATTTGACTTACTACTATTGGACGCCTACCTTTTTTATAGTAAATGATCTGAAGAAAGCAATTGGCCCACATTTGCACAATTCTGACTGCTGATATGGAGTTTTTGTTGTTGGTTGTGTCAGGAGTGAGAGAAATCTTGCATACGTTTTCGAATTCTTATTCAGAACATTCAGAACTGTTACCTGTATCCCATTTAGCAGGCATTTAGCAGAACTTTACCATATATTAACTTTACCATATATTAACTGTGTAATTTTCAGCGATAAATGTTTATTCATGTTAAGCCAGATAATTAGATTCCTCCTACTTGTACGGTTGACTTAACTTGGATTCTGATTTCTCGGTGTTTTCAGGACTTTGCGTAGACCGATTCAATAACGGATTCAGAAATATAACCATCAGAAACTCATTTTGATTTAACAAGGCAAAAATGCTAATATATTGAAGAAAATTCCAATGAAATCCACTGGTCATTCGGTGTAAGCTACAAATTTGTAGGATGAAGATTCTGCGGAACCCTCATAAACGAGTACCGATTTCGAATTTGACGATGTTTTCAGAGAAATTGGGAAAAAAGATACTATGACATAGATGAAACCAGATGTTAGATATTGTTAACAGTATAGACACTTTAGGCATTTGTAGTGACTACGTGAAAAGAAATTACATAACAGAGAAGGTATTGTCCATTATAAACTTTATTCTTTCGTACTACTTCCCGAACCAGTTTTACGATTCAAAAAACGACTTTGACGAACCGAAATGTCTCACGTTGCTTCTTATTTACCTTTACTGATAGAATATTTTTACTTATGCCCTTGGCAGTAAACTTGACCGATTATATGCAATATATCTTCAGTCACTACGCAATCTTACCACCTTGGATCGCAGTTCACTTAATGGCAGTGGCATTTTTTGTGCACAATCTAACTAAAATCTAACCTCAAATATTGCTTGAGTTCGCACATATAACATTTTAAATCTCTACAGGTCATGATATATGATAAATATCAGTTTTTATTAATTTTACAATGTTATTAGACCGCACACTTCCCACTTATTTGGAATATGAAATTCCATTGGCCGCCACAAATTTTACACAATTGTCTAATCCACAAGAAAAACAAAGTCACTTCTTTATACCTATAATTTTTTTAACGAATTTTTCTGAACAAAAAACTATAAGAAGAATTCAAATCCGGCCCGAACCTCGAGATTGAACCAATACAATTTTTTTTACATTCGTCGCGGTAAATTCTTGATTAGTTTGTAAAATAACTACAAGTATACTAACGTATGATCAGGTAGAGTTAATTAACCTAGTCATTGGTAAGGCCTTAAGATACTGATTAGAACACTTGCATTATAGACGTTGTTCTTCGCTAATTTTGCCTACATAAATCAACCAGAAATATTAGATTTTCTAAAAAGATTTGATATATTTCTGGAAAGCTATTATATTTTTATTAGAACTTCTTGAATATATGGTAAGAATTACTTACGGGTTTGTGATCTTTATATCTGGTTGATTTTTGAAATTTCCAGTGTCGGGACTTGAAATTTTGCTCGTTTATTCCACTAAACAACATAGGTTGTTTCTGTTGAAGCAGAAAGGATTCTGAAAAATATTTTTGAGCAATGCCAACAAATTGACAGCCTTTTCGGGTATATAATCAGGGCCGTTCCCATGAAATAGACTGTCGAGACTACTGCTTGAAAGAAAGGGTAGTGCTAGAACAGTTCAAAAATTAAAAATGAGTGATGTCTTCTTCTTATTTCTTTGCATTAATTTCAATATTTTACAACAAATAGCTGTTACAATATTCCAAATCGTACCCTCTCACAAATAAATAACTTTTTAGAAGAATATAGTAAATTTAGATACTAAAATCAATACTGAATAACCGAAATAAAAATTTAACAAAAACACATACATACATAGAAGTGTTTAAACTGGATAACTTAAGCATATACAAAATTCCAAAACTACACAATTATCGAATGTAAGAATAACCATTAGCAACAACAACAAATATCACAATGATGTGCTTGCAATGTGGCCACAGAAGCAAAATTCAAAAATATGCATGTAACTAACTTGTACACAAAATGAAAATTTTAATTTATACATATAAAGATAAAATATATTGTAACAGTATATGAATTTTAAGAAAGAATATAAACAAAATAAAAGTTAAAACAAAAATAAACAAACAATATCTCCATTTAAATAATAAAACAAATACTTTTTTCTGAAATAAACAAAAGTTTTTGGCTATTTTATTTTATTTTTTAATAAAAAGGGGTTGAAATTTAAATTTTGGTTTTGGGAGGAAAATGAGAATTTTATGAAGATTATGTTTAAATTAAGCTACAGTGGTTAAAGACTCCTCTCTTTTGTGAATTTTATTGAATTTTGTTTTGAATTTTAATACTTTTTGATGTAATTATTCCACATTAGCCTAAATGAATCTCATACTACCTTTTATTTTCGGGAAGCTGAAATATTTTGAATATAGTTATTTATTTAGTTGGCCATAGGGGTTTGCATGAGCAGCATACCAGCGTCTGTCGCGAATCTCAACAAATTATGTGGCCCCCTAACCATACCTCTTCCAGTGTCTCATACCGTGGGATTCCTAATTGCTTGAAGCGTAAACTTGCTAATGGAGCACATGTGCACAAAAGATGCTCTATTATTTCGCCGGCGCCTTGCTCTTGACATTTCCTACAGTCTTTTCGAACTTTCACACTACAACCAGTCAACATTGCAGTCCCTTCTATCATGTGCCAGTTAGAACCTTGTGTATTTCTGATCTACCGCTATACACATGACTTTTGCAGTATTGCACCCCTGTCGGTCGTTCCATCGCGTTTCGAGACTTCCTTGTCATGTTTGTGTCTAGATCGTCATATAGACAAGCATGGGTTTTTCAATGTCGTCAATACCAAATTCTTCTATAAATTTTTTAGAAATTTGCCCTCTATTTAACATCAAGCATACACTACAAATTTTATTTTGATATCTTGAACAGGGTAACGAGCTTTCTGTCTGTCGTGTATATACGCGAACTAGTTCCTCAGTTTTTGAGATACCGAGCTAAAATTTTACACACGTCCACGGAAACTATAGGATATAGCTGTCATACAAATTTATCGGTCAAAATCAAGGCCTTGTATGGAAAACGTTTATATTTGAAAATATATCTTCCTGACATTTTTCATAGATTTTTGTCCAAGGCCATCCTACAATCCCCGAAGTACCATAATGTTCAGATCGGACCACTATAACATATAGCTGCCACTCAAACTGACCAACTAAAACCTAAGACAAAGATCTTCATAAGAGATTTCATATGTGACATAAATCACTGTTTCACTAAAAAATTATCAAATCTGGAAAATATCAGTCTGTGAAAGGGATTAGGTTTTATTTTTGTTTTCACAAATTTCCCAATCTTCTCTAACCTTTTTTTGCCCTTTGGCCAAAGGTAACATCCTGTTCGAAATGCAGGCCAACTTAACCTTTTATTAAGATAGAATGAGGAGCTAGTGCTATTGCAGCGATTGAATTCAGCAGTCGTGTTCTTACAATATATATTTTTTACCATTATCGAGATCATAGTAAGGTTCTATTTTACCAATGCATTTTATAAAAAAGTTCCTACTGTTTAATAAAATTAAACATGCAGATATGACGTTTCTTAAGTCAGCGATGCTAAGTCAGTAGCTGATATGTTAAGCTATAGTTACTACACTTGGTAGAAGTGCAATCCAAATTTTTTCGGGTGACTAAACGAGTCAAATTTGTTGGACGCCTCTGGTTTAAATTATATTTGTTCAAGCCCTTCTCTGGAATGTTCTATATTCTATTATATAGACTAGATTTATATTCCGTTCCTCTCTCGGATGGTTGAGTTTATTCTAGCACTCGGAAAGTTCTTTTCCAAAAAAGTAACAATTTGAAAAGGAAATACGCAACGCTATATTTCTACGATAATATGAAGGAATAGACCGAAAGCTGGTAAAAAAAAACTCTGTTAAACTAAACATTAAGGGTACGCTTTATACGCTCTATCTGAAATCTTAAATTTTTTTTAATACCAACGATTTTTAATACTAAAATTGTGCGCTTAGTAATTCATTACCAGAGTTAAGAGGTTTATGTTGAGCGGAAAACTATATTTAAGCTCTCCAATTTCTGGCAAACTTTTTCAGTTAATGACATTTGAATTTGTGCTTTGAAGCCACTTTCACAATAAACAAATAATTTTCATTTGATATTTTGTTTATAACATATTTGCTTGTGCATTTAGATCGGGCAGCATCGAAAGCGTTAGTCCAACTAGTTCGGGACCAAATTTAATAGCAGCGCTCGCAGGCAGCGATACACCAACGGTTGGTACTTGGAAATTAATTAAGGGTAAAGTTTCACAGACATTTGAGGATATTAAATCGTCGAAAACTACCACACAGGTATTATCGGCGTCCGTCCCGAAAGGTGAGCTAATTTTAATGTTTCCTCTTTTTTAAATAAAAATTCAATGAATGCATTTATTTCTCGTCAAATCTTTGCAGTTGAGAGCCCACGACAATATTTTCCACAGCAAATAAACGATCCAGACTCGGATACCGAAAATCCGACCACACACTCTTCCATCAGTGATGATTTGCTATTCGATTTAGAGCGTAAATCGCCGCATTTTAAAGGTGGTGACTCAGATTCCTCCGCCGACGGCGAACCCCTGCCTGAAGGTGAGGTGGAACGTTCCAGATTGCGTCGCGGTCTAGCCAATCTCAAGTCGAAAGTAAAATCTAAAACGCAACATACACACCATCACTCTCACCAATCGCATTCACCATCACAACAACAGCCTGGTCTCGCAACAGCAGCACTCTCATCGGCTACAATTTCCACTGCATTCGGAACAGCTGCTATCAAGCCAATGAAGAAGGAACCCGCTGGTCCTTCACCTGTGTCCTCAAACACCTCACTGCGTGATGCATTAATGCGTCGACGACGTCCTTCGCCAACGGAGCAAGCCGAACGTGCAGTCGCCGTGCAATCCGCCGAAAGTCAGCCGACAGTGACGGAAAAAAAGACGAGCTCGAAAATTAAGAAACGCGGCATAATTGCTGGTAAGAAGGAGGTGGAAATCGAGTCGGGTGTTGAAATGATGGAAGATACTTTGCCAACATTACCAAAGGATGCTGCTGAGAGTGCCGAAGAGCCAAAAACTTCTTCACGCAATCGTTACGATTTGCACTTACATTTCGATAAGAATAGCACAAACAAAGCGACACCCCCACAAACGGAAGGTTTACCAGCCGATGCGAAGACTATTAAGCACCAAAGTGATTTGGAAACTTTGAGACATGCCGCAGAGATATTACAAAGAGAAAGTGATCGTGAACGCGCGCAGCATTTACAACCAAAGAAAAAATTCGCAGCTACTATGCCCATAAGTCGCTTGGCCGTGCTCATTGTAGTGCTGCTCTTGCCAGTTCATGGTTTTATACGTGGTGTACTTGCCTGTCTGATGAGTTTCGCCATTGCCGATTCGCTAAGTGTATTGGCACGATCGATTATTTATAAATTCTTTCAACATCATCCCGAAGGCACCGATTTCGAGATACCAGACTATACGAAAATGCCTATTTGTGAAGTGCCGGCAGTGGAGGAGCACAAAACAATTAAATCCTATGCCGTAAGTACTTCGCCATATATTATATATAGTATATATATAGAATTGATAATTTGTATAATTTTGGTTTATTTTGGCTTGGGTGCAAGCGCGCTATTACTAAATTATTTTGGGTTTCATTAAATAATCTCGTCTGACGTACTGTTATATGGGACAAGTAGGAAGCAATGGGCCGATTTCATCCTTTTTTGCTGAGATAAAGGGAAACATATTATTAAGACATGTTTCATAATAAGATTTGTTCAGTGTCAGACATTAACCGACTTTCGTTAGCCGTTGTACGAACGGGCAGGCAGGCAGCACGCATATTTCTTCTTGAAGGTTGAAAGCTTACAATTAACCAATTCGAACTTGATTACCCACCGATTCCAATTTTCACAAGAAAATTTTGTGTAACGATGAAGCTCACTTTTGTTTCAATGGGTACGTTAATAAACCAAATTGTCGTATTTGGAGGGATGACATTCCATAAGCCATTGTCGAGACGCCGTTACATCTTCAAAAAGTTTGGTGAGCTCTATGGGCAGAGAGAATCATTGGTCCATATTTCTTCAAAAATGAAGAATTGTTACAGTCAATAGGGAACGATACAGAGCCATGAAGAAAAACTTTTTCGTGCCAGAATTGGAGTATGTGGACGACCTTTGGAAATAATCAATTTATTGAAGGAAACATTATGGTGAGCGCATACTCTCGCGTCGTGGGTCTGTGGGGTATCTTTTTTAGTGGGGTTATATGAAGTCGCTTGTCTATCAGTATTTCAAAAATTATATATTTTGGTACTATATAGTTCCGTTTTCCCCAAATTAGTAGCGTTACAGAATAAATGCGCTTAGTTCTATTGTTTCATTTTGGAATTATGTTCTCTCTAACATCTGAAATGTTGTTTGAAGCTCTCTAGCTTTTCGCGGAGTCTGCAAGTACGGATGTAAAGGTAAATCTTTACGAAAGTTTCAGCTTATAGATGTTTTGGAACCATTCGAAGCGTCAAAGTCAACCGGAAGGACATGTTGATTAGGGACATCGAAGGACCTATTTTATGGTATGGAGGTTTAAAATTAAGTTTGGTTAAAAGCGGTTATCCTTTAACTGCTTTCGACCATAACAGTTTATGGGATGTGTGTGTGGTCATTATCAACTTTTCTTCATTTTCACACTTTTCTATGTTTCGACTGGTTTGTGGAGAAGAGTATATGTATGCATTAAACTAAGAAAACCGATCTTAAATTACAATTTTTCTAAATTGATCACAAAACTATATGTTCTAAATATAAAGCTAATCAATGTAATAAAAATCAATTTTACAGGGTTGGATGAATGAGATTTTCAGCTATGATCCCTTAACCTATCACATTACACAAACCAATTCGGTTTATCTACGTCTCGACGGTACCTACCTACGCGTTTCAACTACAACAGCACGCATACCGAAGCGAATTATGTGGAACGAACCGCCCATCGACATAAAGCACGTACACTTCACCAGCCATCGTGTGTTCAATTTGCTTGGTTGCAATGTTGAACTTTTGCCATTGGGATTGGCGCGCAAGAGGTACACACAAACCTACCTATGTATACCCATAAACCAAATATTTAGTTAAACAACTTAATCTATGATATTTTCAGGTACTTCAATCGCAAGTATCCGATACAGCTGATTATTAAAAATGGCGCCGAAGAGGAGACTCAGCAAGAGCCCTCGGAAAATCAATCAACTCAATTATCTGCACGAGGTAGTAAGTCCGATTTGACGTCGATGGATAGTAGAATGTCACAAGTTTCCAGCGATATTTTGGAACAGTTTGGCGAATCGAAAGATAAAGTGACCACCAATCTGCAGGATATAGATTTCGCCGCTACTGTTATGAATGCCGATGTGAGTTGCGAAACATTTTAGTCTATGGTATTTTTTTTCTAATTTTTTTTTTGGTTGTATTATCTATTTTTCTTCACAGTTACAACAATTGCAAGACAACACACTAAATAACGATAGTCTCATACCATGCGGCGACGAGGTGCGTTTGATACTGTTTGCGCGCGGCGATCGTGAGAAAGAGGATTGGTATCGCCGTTTTGTGGCCGCCAGCGAGGGGGACGTGCACGATCAAATGTTGCGCCTGCCAAATCTGAAATTCGTAGATGATGCTGAATTGCAGCGCGCGGCGGCAAAGGCGGCACAAATGCCTTTGGATCCTGTAAATATAATTTGTAAATATATTTATTATATATTTTTTCAATCTTCTTAACCACAGCGCGATAATGCGACACCTGAAAATGAGAATCATGCAGAAGCGGAATCGCATGTATTACCGCCGGATATGGCGCCACCGTTGATGGTTGAGGGTGGTAAGCTGACGAAAGGTGAAACATTCAAAGACATTCCAGACGACATGGAAGTGGTGCCTTCGCCGACTGATGCCTTCGAAGGTCTACTCATGAGCTCGTGTGCTGCACGCAATCCACCAGATTATATACGTTTTATGGCTATATATCAGGTATGGCAACTGACAACTGATTTAATTGCTTAATTTAATATCATACCGCTAATACAATAATTTAACAGTTTTGTTTATTTTTAACTGAGCATTATTTTTATTTTAATTAAACCAAATTTTATTTGTATATTTAGAGCAAGAAGTCAACAGACCTCCTTAATACCTATAATTGAGATTATATATATATATTATATATTATGTACATATATATATATATATATTTTCCTTAGCACCTACATGCAACATAGGGCCTCATTTTTGTTTATTAAGGTTTCGTTTATCAAGCGACATAATATGAATTTGATTGGTCTTCTGCCTCCGAAGCTGGCAGTTATACCGCCTTTACGCGGTCGGCAGAGCCCCGTTCGTAGTGAACAGGAGCTACCACGGGAAGGTGAGGTTGACGTTTGGAAGGGATAGACTATTTTTGCGCAACACTCTTCCTTATCGAAATCAAGCAGCTTCGAAAGCTTCACATTAATTTTTTGCTAGCTAGCTAGATATAAGTCTAGACTTAGGTGACCATATTTGTATCGACAAAATCGGGGGCGGTTTTTTTTATTCGTCGATTGTTTTCATATTATAGTTCACTGAAAGTCGTGACAGAGCAAAAAGGTGAGAGAAAAACAAATTTTATTCAATTCATTCTTTTATTTTTAAATTCTACGCCCGAGGTGGCCGGGATGCTTAACTCGGAATCCGGACTGTCACGGCCAAATCGGAACGAATGGTCAGCTAAGTCTAAACAGATCAGACTCCCAAACATGCCAACAAATGCTTAGACGTTCGATAAAATTCTGATATTGAAAAATCAATTCATTCTACGATTGTAAACAGTAAAAGAGTTGTTGGTGTTATACATTTTTCAAGGCATAGCCTAAATTTTGTAGAATGTATAGCTTTTGGTAAGGGAGCAGTTACTAGTCCGTAGTAATTACATCCGCTTCCAACTCAGTTGTTAGTTTAAGCGAGTTTCAACTACTTTCAAAGCAAGCATGTTAAAAAGGATAATTATTCTTACTTTATTTAATATTAATTTACCTTAACCTGATTATATTTTATTTTTATTTTTATTTTTATTAAAATTGATTTTTCTTTCATTTTTAAGAGCGCTTGCAAAGATCCCAAAATACCAGTGCAATTAAAACAAAAAACTTTGGATAAAAGTGAAAAAGTATGCTATAATTTTTTATGTATGTATGCTTATTGTATTAATTTTAATAATTATTTATTAATATTTTTGAATAATGTTTGCTTATTCTTTGAATTAAAAAATATTTGAATTTTCATAAATCTTTTTTTTTTGTATTTATTTTAAATATTTTTAACAATTTTAATATTTTTCTTATAAATATTATTTATTTTTGCTGCTATTATATTGAAAGTTTTGTATTATTCACCATTTTCATTCAATTATTTTTCATCGCCACTGTAGACACGTCGCTCCAAACGCAATGCTAAAGATTTGTGGAAAGGTATTGATCAGTCGTTGTTCTTGGGTCCCTCTGGCAGCGTTGTTTGGGCTAATGTGTTAATTGGACGTGTACTCTATAGTTGTTTACATGACAATATGGTTAAAGATAAGATTAAAGAATTACTACAGAAAAAGATCAGCGCCATAAAGGTGAGTAATGGATTAAATTATAAGTTTTATATAAATACTAATATGAATATATATGTTTTGTATGACAATTTGTTACTCTTCTGTTTATTTAAGAATACCTCTCATTTTATGCTAACAATATCGTTTGAATCAGACACAGAAATAAACTCTCAGAGTTCAGTTATAATCACTGTTTTCATTTTCCTTCAAGTCACTTAGTATACCTAGGTATTTTTAGCTAAGAATTCTTTATTATATAATTATTAAGTTATACATGGGTAACACGTCTGATAAGCTTGCAATTCGAATATTTTTCGAAACTGTATCCATCAGAACAGAATCTTTTGAGCTTTTTTCTGCAAACATGGTCTCGCTGGCCACAAGAGGCAGGTGGTTTAATTATCCTTATCAACCATAACATATTGGGTTTCGGCCGTATTATTGTTTCGAGTCCAATCCGGTTACGTAGATCGCCAAAGTTTTCTCTGTCATCGTGACTATAGTTTATAAAAAGGATTCTTCCTAATATTCTGCGTAGAGGGTATAAAATAGACTTAGTCCGACCTAAACGATTTTTCATAAATATTTACATAAGTACACACTTCTCTCACAGCTTCCATCCTTCATTGAAGATGTGGTTATCACCAAAATTAATCTCGGCGACACACCGCCGCTCATTCACCGCGTCTCACAACCTATGCTGGATGAGCGTGGCACTTGGGTAGACGCCGACATTACATATGAGGGCCTGCTACAGTTAACCGTTACAACCAAACTGAATTTGATGCGTATTAAACAACAAAAACGGCCCATAGATCCGCTCAATATAACTGTGCCGAATACGGTAAATACCGGTCCGAATGCGCCAAATGTTACTAATTTCACTGTCGTACCACCCATTGTGATTGCCGACGGTGAGGGAACTAGTAGAAGCAGCGCAAATGCCAGATCATTCGGGGATGACACTAACAACGCTGATGAAGTCTCGAGCAATGTTATATTTGACAGCGATGCAGAGAGTACTGGTGATTCAGATACCGATCCAGAGAGTTTGAATGCACCCACAGCGGCAGGAACCACACCGAATATTGGCACATCATCGACAACGGCAGGACAAGGCTCACAAGCCGATGGTGGCTCAGCTGCTGGAACAGAGTATGTACTTCTCGTGTTTCCTGAAAGTTGGTTTGGATTTCAATAAAATTTTCTTTATTATTATATATTTACAGTTATCACTTCATTCCCACGGCTCCAGGCAATGCGCGTCGTATTTTTCGCATAGTAGATCGCATTGCCGCTTCGAATTTCTTTCAATATGCCACCGATTTGCCAGTGGTACAACGCGCCATTGAGAATATGAACACGAATATAACGTTGCGTGTGGATCTGCGGGGTCTGGTTGGACGTGGCGTCATTAACATTCCACCACCGCCATCCGATCGCATATGGCTGTCGTAAGTGGATTGATATTGTATGGTTTTAAATGACTAATATTTTATTTTTGCGTCTATTTTTGGAGGTTTTTCAACACTTGCTAATAAATTTTCTATTCTCTTCCCAGCTTTCGTGGTCCACCACGCCTTTGGCTATCAGCAAAACCGGCGTTGGGTGAAAAATCTGTCGACTACAGCATTGTGACCAGCATAATTGAGAGTAAATTGTGCGAAGTGGTGAATAAGTTTTTGGTTTATCCCAACATGGTCGATGTCACCATACCGTTTCTGGGTCAACCAACCTATGAGTATTTGCGTGGTGAAAAAACCAGCAAGAAAACTACTGAATAGATGTTGGCTTACAAAACCAACTGGTTGCACATAAAGTATTTTATTATGCGGCTGATTGCATATCTTTTTACAGCAACAATAATTGTGTAAAATTTTTTTTATTAAAAATGTCGTGTTAAACATTTCTCCAACTATTTTTTTTTTTTACTTTTTATACATTCTCGGAGTTATATACCGTTACTTATATATTCGTACAAGCAAATAGCATCTTTGTCGTGATAAACAATTTCCAAATAAACTATAAAATATTTACATATTTATTTATAAGCTGCAATTCCATAAACTTTACATTACAAACATTCATTTATTATATAACTGAATTAAAATTCACAAGTTATAGAAGATTTATATAATTAATGTTTATATTGAACACAAAGTAGTTAGTAATAACAAATCTCGGTTTTTTGAATTTATGTATTTTATGTATACTATATAAGCCGTTATTCCATGAATTCTACATTTCATAATTTAGTTAAATATATTATATTATATAAGAATTGTTTTTATTTTTTTGTAATTTTTTATATGTGGTGAATAGTGGTTATTAACAAATAGAACACGGTTGCTTGTGGAAAGCTAAAATAATTGAGAAGTTTAGAAATTTCTGCGTTTTAAATTATATTTAAGGCTTCTATGCACATATATGTACATATATAAATTACATATATATAATTCTAAAAAATTACCAATAATTGTTTGGCCTTCTTTTTCCATAAGCAATCGCCTTTAGAATTAAATATTAAATACAAAATATTTATCTTTAGTTTAATAAACTAAATAAGCTCAATCTAATTTTAACTATTTATTAAAATTTAAGTGAAAAAAAGGACAAAAACATGAAATTATCCCACATATAGGAAATGCTTTCCGTAATACATAATATAAATTTGTGCAAAATATTTGTTTTTATACCCTGAACAGAGTATACAAGTATATAGTTTGTGTTTGTAACATTCAGAAAGAAACGGCGGAGACCCTATAAAATATACACGTGTATATAAATTCTCAATGCGAAGAGCTGTGTCGATTTTGCCATGTCCGTTGCCTGTCTGTATGGCCGGGTAGTGCTTTAGTTTTTGAGATATCATATAAAATTTTGCACACCTCGTTTTCTTTCCAAGAAGCTGTTCGCTTGTTGGAACCACCGATATCGAACAACTATAGCACATCAGTGTCGTACAAACTGAACGATCGGAATAAATGTCTTGTATGGAAAATTTTTTATTTCACAAGATATCTGCACGAAATTTGGCATGCATTATTATCCAAAACAACGGTGTAATCTCCGAAGAAATTATTCAGATAGGACCACTATAGTATATAGCTGTCATATAAGATCATTTTTATCGTTCCAAATTAAGTTTTTGTATTTATAACTTTCTTGTTTGACTTAACGAAATTTGGCATATTGTTCAAGGCAACAGTATAATAACCGAATCAATTATTCAGATCGGAACGCTATAGCATATAGCTGCCATGAAGATTAACCGTTCAAAATCAAGCTTTTGTTTGGAAAACTTTTTAATTTGTAAAGGGTTTTAAAGCTTTGGTGCAACCGAAGTTAACGTTCTTTCATATTTTATACTGCACAAGTTCGATCCATCGTGCTCAACTGGTATTTGAATTTTTTTTATGAAAGTCACAGGGTTATTATTTAAAACCATAACTCTTCTATTTTTTTTATACATTTCTTTACTAATTTGAATTATTTTGTTAAATACTTGGTAAACTTAAAGATATTCTGCAAAATTATGGCGCAATACTGTTAATATCGAGTCCCGCTTGAAAAATTCTAAATTGTGACAGAATATTATTAAATTCATTATCAACGGCAGTCAAGGACTCGTTCCACAGTTGTATTTTCTTAAACTGTCAGTTTTATATTGATAGCAAATAAATCAGGTATGACGTGGCGTATGAGTTATGTGTGAAAAATTATAAATTGACTAGTACGATAGGAAAATGATAGAATCCAAATTACGATTTCTTTAAAAAATAAAATCCTATAAGCTAACGATAAATAGTTAGCAATCGCTTTTGCGAAATAATTTACAATTTAATAAATATTTTTGTGGGGCAACGTTCCTAGAATAAACAGGCTGTCGAGCCATTTTTAATTTTGTATGCATATTTTTATGCACAGAATTCAGGCAGGTATTTTTTGATTAATTTTTTTTCTTTATACCTGTTTTCTACTTAAAACATTTTCTATTTTTCCAATATGTGTAACTTCATAGAAAAAAGTTGTAGAGCTATAAATGTACAGATATATAATAACCGCTACTATATAATTTTGAATGAGTGCTCGATTACGTTCGTATTTGCTACAAAAATGCTGCTGACACTCAAATATATGTGCAAAATGTTCAAAAGCAAAAGTATTTAAATTAAAAATTAAAAAAAAGTGATTTTAGAAATGTATTTTGACACTAAAAGCAACTCTGGAAGGATCGCTTTGAAATAATATTTGATATAGACAAGTCGTCCAAGTCATAAATATATTATTTCAATTATATTTTGCATAAAAAATTATAATTTATGTTTATATATAAGGTATTAAAAGCGAGAACGGTAACTTAGCGAATATTATTTTTGTAATAAGATGGAAAAAACGCTATTGTTGCGTTAAAATTTAGTTATTATTTATATTAATTGTTTCAATAAAACGTATACTTATTTACAAAAATGTACAAAATTCCAGTAATTTTCTTAAACGATACCTATCATACTATTTGAAAAATATAATTACTTATAATTCAAAATATAATTTGTAATCAAATGTACTTATATCTTCCTATAAGTATTTAATGTATTGCTTTCGAACCGATTTAAACATATCTCATATTCCAGGGAACTGAATACTTTATGCTTTAAATGGGTTTAAAATCGAAACAGAATATTTACATATATATTCGTACAAAATTGGGTGGCGATTATTTCCCATGTTGATTATTTTTTGTAAACACCACTGAAGGTTTCAGTTTTTGACCTGAAAAACAAAATTATCCAACGTAAACAAGCTCTTTATTTTTAATATTTACTTTTCCCATGTACGAGTATTTAATATTGTATTTTTTAATACTTTGCATTAGGTGTGCCCCTCTTAGTGTGACAGTGGGAATTAAAAAAAATGTACTATATGGATTGTTTTGGAAGTTTCAGGGTATATTTATACATGTTTCAAGAATACACAGTGACATTTTTGGAAAGAATTAAACTTTTTTTGAGTTATACGAGATCTCCGACGGCGCTAAAAAAAGGTCTTCCACTGCAGCAGTGATTCCGGCCTTCGCCGTAGATGAAATGTAAAAATAAAAAAAATTCTCGCTAAACTAGAAGACAATGACCTACGATCACTATACGAAAGTAGAATTTTACCCCAAATTTTCGTAATTTTTGGCCTGACAAAAAACCGATGTAGTAAGTTTGAAAAATTATGTACAGAACAGGCAAAAAAATTTCACGATGATCGAATCATTTGTATTCGAGTTATCACTGCAGAAAAATGTTGTTTCGAGGTCCACACGTTTAATAATAAACTGGTAGACCAGATTGAGCTGAGCGGCTACCCCTAAAGGCTGTAACTCAAAAACTATTTCAGATATTTTAATATGTTATTTTTAAGGTTTCGAAATATGAAAAAAACTCAATTTTTTTTCGAAATTTCACACTAGGCCCCTTAAACAAGTAGACCCATGTAAATCTACAATTTTGAAAACATGATATTCTAATACAAAATATAGCGCTGTACAAAAAAGGTCTTATTAGTTTTTTCCATAAAAACATTCCTTTAAAAGTTCCACGCAGTTATAGTTATGGATAATATATACTGAACATTCATGCAAGTGCCTAATAAATTCTGTGTTGCTCATACGACATGGTGTACTGAATGAATGCTGAGTCAACTGATGTACAATATAACTTTAAGTGGCGTTATTTTATTTGAAGGCGTTATTTTATTGTAAAAGTTATGCAGACATTTTTTGTAGAGCGAAAGATTATGTATTAGAATATCGTTTATTAAAATTTTTAGGTTTACTTGTAAAATACGATTTAGGCAGGTGGCTAAATGAGCTCAGCCTCCCGCCCTAATGCAGTCAACCACACCGCACAACACACCACTCACACGACAACACAACACACCACTTACAGGACAACACTGGCACACCACACCTGGAAACACCCACACACCACGCACCAAAGCAACCTTACTGGAAGCAGCAGCATACACCCACACACAATAACTCTACACACCAACATTAACAAAAGGAGGGAGGGCGATCGCGCCGACCCTTTTTTTTCGATCGAAAGCGCTAAACCGAGAAGTCGCAGTTGAAGTTCCGCCTTTTCTCCACGGTCGTAGATCCCGATTATCTTTTAACAACTTATAAAGTGAAATTGTAATTTTTTGATTTTGATTGTTATAAATATAATTATCTTTATAAATACATGATATTGTAAATTGCGTAAAACGTTTGCGATAGAAATAAATTGTGTAATAATTTTCTAAACTTTTACAAAGACGGGAGCGTTTAGTGGAACGAAAAGGTGAGGAAAAGTTACAAAAGTGAACATGGTCCTTCGAGCCGGATAGAAAGGCACTATCGATGTATATAAAAAAAAAAAAAAATTACACATATGACCAAAGTGCAGTGAAACGGTGACAAAACCCGTAAATTACATATAGAAATATGTATATAAAGTGACCAAGTGACCAAAGTGCAGTGAAACAATAAAAAAATTCCGGAAAATAAAAACCGGCGTGAAGTGCAAAAACAAAAGTGCATTTACAAAAATTAAAAAATACATACACATATGTACATATAACAAGTGCAGTTATTGAAAGCAAATGAATTATGGATATACATATGTACCGGTGAAAAGTTTCATATATATTTAATATATACTTCAAAAAGCACATCAAAAATAAAGTGAAAAAAAAAACAAAGCGGGCGCAAAATTAAACCAAATAACCCATATAAGCGGGCGCGAAAGTAACAACAATATTAACAATAAACCTAAACGGGCGCGAACTAAAATAAAACATAAGATCCAAATATAATAGGCACGGAGGTTACACCAATCATCTGGAACAAAGAGGAAAGGACTTTACAACACAGATATTCTAAATAAATATATAATACCCCCTAAAGCCCCTGGAGGAATGCCAAGTGAGTTGTATCGTTTCCATTATTCATTATTGTATATACATATGTATGTAGTATGTTGAAATACGATTTTATATCGATCATATAAATTCAGGAATATATCCGCTAACGTTCTAGACAAACGGGAACCAAACTGTTTCTATTTACGGTTATTTTACGGGAAAACTGAAAATACCGCTATCACGCAAAACAGTTTGGTATAGCATATATATAATACAATAATATATATATAATACAATATCAAATACATACATAATAAATCAATGCCTATAAGCTTACCATTGTGTTTTAAAAACACGTCAATTTCCCAAAAAAAAAAAAAAATTTTCAAGCATTTACTTGCGAAAAATTTCCGACAGACCCCTTAGGCTTAACAAAGCAATAAGCAGGTCTGCATAAAAAAAAGTAAGAAAAGGCAAAATAACAACTTAAATACAATAAAAGAAAATAAAGAAGAGAAAAGAGACAGATTTGAGTAAACATACTTACATACATATATACATATATACAATACACGTATGTTCATATTTATTATATGCATATTATATATACGTAATTCCTAAGTGCAAAACAGCAAAGCGAAAGCGAAAGCTAAAAAAAAAAAAAAAACAAAAAAAAAAAAACAAAAAAGGTGCTCTCTTGCATACGCACAAATTTAGATATCTAAATATATTTACAAGAATCTATACACACATAAGTGCAGTCGGTAAAATACCTGTATTTTACCAATTCTCTTAATTCGTACCGCGGAAATAATACGCATATACATATACATATGTACATACGTACATACAGTATCCAATGCACTTAGGCCTGCATACTCTTAATACATAGGGTACACTCGTGCGAAAAAGTAATCGTAACATTTCGCAAATTAAAACAGTACGACAAACGGAATTTTAATTTGGCCAATAACAAAAATATAGCACGGTTTAATAATAAATACAAAAAAGAAAAATAATTTATATATATATATATTCATATATGTATATTGGTTGAGCAACAACTAAATTATATTCAAAGTCCACTTCGGCATCTATTCGGCAATACCCCTTGCAGTAAGCAAGCAGGATTGCATACAGGAATTCAAAGCACAAACAAATCGTGCATACTTTTATATATAAAGTGATCTCTTCACGAGCGCTCATTTGTACATTAATCCAATATATATATAAACTGAACTATAGGTATACCCTATAGGACTTGCGGACACAAAAAAAAAAAAAAAAAAAATTTTTTTTAAATAATTGCGGTTATTAATAAAGAATTAAATATAAACTTTTGTAATTCTTACAAATAATAAAATATAATACAAATACTTATTTGATAACTCAAATAAAAAATCGGTCTTAATTATACAAAATTTTTTAATTCGAGCACCTTTGTTTATTGTATCCGAATTAAAAACTCTTATTTACGTAAAAGATTTTCGGTTGCAGTTATAATTTACAAAGTATCGCTTATTTTATTAAATATACATTGAGAAAATTTACTTTTTTTAATTTTGCATTTTTCTAATGAGCACAGATTCAAAAGAATCTAAATCTTCACAACTATTGAAAGTACCAAAAATGATTTCGGACGAAAAAAGTCCATGTACACCTGCAGAAGCTACACGCTCTAAGCAAGGTGCGACAAAACAAAAAAGGGGTAGAGACATTTCATACACAAAATTCATTTCGGAAAGTGACAGTTTAATAAGATACTGCACTAGATTCTCATCTTCGCCAATTCAGGACAATTCTGAATCGGTTTTAGAAATCAAAAAAGACAATCTTGACAATTTTTGGTCACGTCTCCAAGCTGCATATGACGCCATAGTAGAATCTGACGACTCAGATCTACCAGAAAATTTTAAGTCCTCGGCTTACGCCAAATATGAAAACTGCTTAGACCAGTTCGAAGAAACTAAAGCAATGATTTCCGATCAGCTAAAGCTAATAAAAGCAATTGCACCTACTCCACATCAGCGAGTAGAGCTGCCACAAGTACAAAAGTCAAGAGGCAAGTTCAGGCATCCATCTCAAGGTGCCCGCATGTGACACACAGAAATATTTCATGGTGGTTATGACAATGGCCGTCCTTCGGGACATGTTTACAGCCGTTTACATGAACCACCAAAATTATCAATGCACAAAATTGTATCACCTCCGATACAAAACAAAAGGTCAAGCAGGCGTAATAGTAAAACAGTTCGCACTAAATGACGATAATTTCAATTTGGCTTGGGAAGCTCTTAAATCTAGATATGAAAATGAGAGAATATTGGTCGATAAACAAATATCGGTATTAATGAACTTGCCAAAAATTCAAAAGAAACAAGTGAAGAATTTATCAAACTTCAATCCACTGTTTCAAATTGTTTGTCGGTTTTATCGACACAAAATATTCCCACAGACAGCTGGGACCTATACGGTAAACATAGCACTGCCGCATTACCAGAAAATCATTACTTCTATGGAGCAATCGCTCTCATCACGAAGAAAATGCCCCACGTGCAACAAATGAAAGATTTCCTAACTACCAGTACGAAATCGCAGAAAGGGTAGATAAAAAAAAATGGTCAGAACGAAAACCGTTCAACACGACCTAAATGAAGCTTCCACAGACCCCAAGCCAGTAGCAACAACAATTTAAATAGAAGCTTCTTCAGAAATCAAACGTTCTCATCCGAACAGTAACAACAACGTCATGCGAACTATGTACAGGGGGCATAAGCTCAAATCTTGCGAGAGATTCAAAAAATTGAATATTATCGACCGAAACAATTTTGTAAAAACAAAGAGACTTTGTACAAACTGCTTGTCACATGCGCATACACTTAAAGAGTGCGAAAGCAAATTTAATTGCGTTTATTGCCATAAACGACATCATTCTATGCTTCATTATAACAATTTTTCCAGCTCACCCCCAAACAGCGCAAATATGAAAAGAGCCACGGGTTTAGTTGCAACAGCAAATCCCGAAGTGCGAAATCCCGATAATTGCCAAGAAGCACCATGCTGCTCAAAGGCATTAAAAACTCAAACGCTACACAGCGAAATCCAAAGTAGGGTACTACTACCCACAGCAGTCGTCTCCATCGAACACCGAGGAGAGCTGTTTAAACTTAGGGCCTTAATAGACCAAGGATCACAACGATCTTTCATAGCGTCTAGGGCACAAAATAGGCTACAACTGCCAACAAAACAAGCCAACTTTGAAATTACAGGAATGGGCGGAAGAGTAGTTCAAAACTCTAATAAAATCTGCTCCATTACTTAATTTCCCCTAGCGGATAAGCACATACAAGCAGAAGCTATAGTCTTACGCAACTTACAAATATGCTTCCAAGCTATCACATAAATAGCAAGCAGTCATTGGCAAAAGGTTTCACACCTAAGCTAGCAGATCCCAACTGCAACACCCCGCTCAAATAGACCTCTATTAGGAAGCGATCTCATACCACAGATTATACTCGAAGGTATTGAGAAAATTTCAAATACACTTCTGGCACAATACTATTTTGGATGGATCCTAAGTGGACTAGTTTCGGAACCAGTTACCACCATGACCACTCAGGTTGAGGAAATCTCAAACGAATACCTCAATTCACAATTAAAAATTTTGGGAGTTAGAAGAACTCCCCCCATATCAATCACAACCCCTGAAGATCAGTATTGTGAAGACTTTTACAAAGCCACAACTACTAGATCAGATAATGGTCGGTACGTCGTACGACTACCACTAAAACAACAATTTCCTAACACACTCGCCTTAGGTCACTCTCGCACCTCTGCAATACAGCAGTTTTTAAGTATGGAAAAAACTTACTTAAAAAGGTGAGCTTAAGCCAGAATACGATGGCGTGTTAGAAGAATACCTCCATTTAGATCACATGGAGGAAGTAAGCCCATGCGAAAAAATCATAAATGGCAAATATTACTCATTTTACTTGCCTCATCACGCAGTAGTAAAGCCAGACAAAAAAACAACTAAAGTAAGAGTTGTCTTTAATGCATCAAGATCTACTAGCTCGGGGAATTCCCTAAATGATATTCTATTTACGGGACCCACGCTCCAACCAGATTTAATGCTACTCATTTTAAATTGGCGTATATTCAAATACGTATTTAACGGAGACGTCGAAAAATGTATAGGCAAATAGTCGTACATAAAGACGATCAAGATTTTCACGAATTATTTTCCGAAAATCTCCCAATAGTCCGCTACGCGACTATAACTTAAAACAGTTACCTTTGGCGTCAACTGTGCTCCATATTTTAGCCATTCGAACACTCCACGAACTGGCAGAAAACACAAGTCAGAATTTCCTCTGGCAACCAAAGTGTTAAAAACACAAACATATGTAGACGATATCTTGTCTGGAAGTCACAGTCTTCCACAAGCATACGAGTCACTCTCACAAGTGGTAAAAGCCCTCAAAACCGCAGGGTTTCCGTTGAAAAAGATAACGGCGAATC